GGACCCTGCCCCATCCAACCACCCTTCTCCGTCCCCTGACCGCCCCCAGAACCCCTGCCCTTGACCTGCCCCCCGCCACTTCAACCCCCCTTCCTGACTGCCCCCTGGGAACTCCTGCCCCCATTCACACCCCCACCCCCTGACCACAACCCCGAACTCCCCTGCCCTCTATCCAACCCCGCCTGCCCCTTACCGCGCAGCCTGGAGCACCGGTGGCTGGCGGCGTTACAGCTGCACTGCCCAGAGCCCCTGGAGCCAGCCACGCCACTGCGCAGCAGAGAGCACCGGGTCAGGCCGTGGCTCTGCAACTGTGATGCCCCAGGAGCTCGCAGCCCCACTGCCCAGAGCATTGCGCCAGCGGCAGAGCGGGCTGAGGCTCCGGGGGAGGGGGAACAGCAGGGGAGGGGCTGGGGGCTAGCCTACCGGACAGGAGGGTCCCGTGGGTTGAATGTGGCCTGTGGGCCGTAGTTTGCCCACCTCTGGTATATAGAGAGTGGGCAGACCCACCGTCCCTCCAGTTACTTCTCTACTGCCTGTGGCTTGAGACAGAGTGTCGCGGTGTCTGTTATCTAACTATGCAGCTTGCTATCTCTCTCACTTAATCTTCCTCTCTTTTCTTTGTATTTTCTTTCTTTTTCTTTGTTTCTTTAGCACAGTTTATGCTTTGAGGAGGGGGGTGGGGCATTCCCTTCCCTTTTTCTTTTGCCCAATCTGGGCCTTGATCTGCAGCCTTGTATATGGGTTATGCCCAACACCCTGGGCTTCAAACCCTGCCAGATTAGCCATAGGTCTTTCCCCTCCCATGGCAATGGACATTCAAGTTGCCTCTACTGCCTAGGTCAGTGGTTCTCAACCAGGGGTATGCATACCTGGGGTACACTTAGGTCTTCCAGGGGTTACATCAACTCAGATATTTGCCTAATTTTATAGCAGGCTACATAAAAAGCACTAGCAAAGTCAGTACAAACTATACTTTCATACAGACAGTGACTTGTTTATACTGCTCTATATACTATGTACTGAAATGTAAGTACAATATTTATATGGTAAAAATGCGAAAGTAAGCAATTTTTCAGTAATAGTGTGCTGTGACACGTCTTTTTTATGTCTGATTTTGAAAACAAGTAGTTTTTAATTGAGGTGAAATTTGGGGGTACTGACGACAAATCAGACTCTTGAAAGGAGTACAGTAGTTTGGAAAGGTTGAGAGCCACTGGCCTAGGGTCAGACTCGCATCCTTTCCAAATGTAAGATTTGCTCAGGTTTTAAAGCAGATCTAAGAAACTGAGGGAGGACAGACTAAAACTCCTGTTGGTAAAGCACTCTGTGAGACTCGGGGGGGGTCTGATTCACCCCTTGTACTTTGAATTCAGTTGCTCAGAAAGCCCTGGCAACCATCTCTGCTGCGAGGTTAACCAAAGACCCTGGGGGTCCTTCAACACCGTCTGAACCCTCAAAGAAGAAAAGACCCCTTTTTCCAGAATGGGATAAGAGAATGGGAAAGTCACCCTATTGACCTGGGTCTCAGGAGACCTAGTGTTCTCACATGGATACAGCTGAAGATCCGTCCCCTCCAGTACCAAGGCCACAGCACCAGCTAAGAAGACTATGCTGCATACCCAGAAGCAATCAGGGAAACAGCTTAGAGTGGCCCTGGCATCAGCACCGGACTCAGTGCCTTTGAAACTCAAGGACTCCAGAGCCAAGCCGAAATTGTCATCAGTATTGTCTTCTGTAGCCAGACATTGAAGGCATACTGATCACACTTCAGTACTGCCTCCAGAGCCACCTGACATACTGACTCCTGAGGGTCTCTATCCAGAGTCCCCAGCACCATCCAGGCTCCTACTCCATTAGGTCCTTTGAATTATGGGAGAGCATGAATCATCATTGCTGAGGGGTTCCAAGAGACACGCTCAACCAGGACCAGCTCACCTCCTGGAGCCTACTTACCCTCAAGGATCTTCCCTTTGAGGGGCCCTTAGTGATGCCACATGTCACTTCATTCTCTTAAAGATTCTCAGGTCACACTATGCTCTCTGGGCCACCTGCGGCAAAGGGAAAAATACAGTAGATTGCAGATGACTCAGTGGTCTTGCACATTCCACTACCAGCACATGAGAACAGCTGAACTCTCTAGGAAGAAGCCCAGGTTCACTAAGAAAGGACCAACCTCTGTAGGGGTTCTCAAACTGGAGGTCGGGACCCCTCAGGGGATCTTGAGGTTATTACATGGGGGGCTCCCGAGCTGTTAGCCTCCACCCCAAACCCCTCTTTGCCTCCGGCATTTATAATGGTGTTAAATATAGGGGGGTCACACTCAGAGGCTTGCACTGTGAAAGGGCTCACCATTACAAAAGTTTGAGAACCACTGCTCTACAGTGAACTCTCAGAAAGTGACATCCTCAAAACAAACCCTTTGACCCATTGGTTGTGGGTCATGAACACTCTCCTAGTTTGGATCCTGTGCTGTACCTTTCCCCCCTCCACCTTTATGGGGATCATCTCTCATTTTCTATCTTCCTGGGGGCTCATCACCTCAGACAGGTGGATCTTGGAGGTGATTTCTACAGGTTATTCCATCCAGTTCTCGTCCTTATTTCATGCCCCTCGCTACCCCGTCCCTCTTCAGGTACCCTTCTTACAATCCCTCCTAACACTAAAAAAAGCAACAGAGGGTCCTGTGGCACCTTTGAGACTAACAGAAGTATTGGGAGCATAAGCTTTCGTGGGTAAGAACCTCACTTCTTCAGATGCAAGTGAGGGTCTTTACCATGAAAACTTATGCTTCCAATAATTCTGTTA